GGATCTCACCAGACCAGATCTCACAGTTGGAAACAAGAGCAGACCGAAGTTCCCCTAGGAGCACCCCTCCCACCTACGGAGAGCCATCTCCCCAGAAGAACAGGCCCTGCACTCTCCACCATCACCACCACGTCTGCATCTAGACAGTCACATTTGACAGAGGTCTGGGATGACGATGGAAGGCAGCACGAATATGTCTCATCAAGCATCTACCATGTATTAGGGAGAGAATGAGGACAAATTGAATGACCAGTTTCTTCAACATCTGATCATAAACCATAGAGACCTGAAGCGTATGCAAAGAGCACAGGTTTAGGAGTCAGACTCCCAGGTTCTGCTCCCCCCCCCCCCCGTGACCTTAGGCAGGCCATCACTCCTCGGTGCCTCTGTCTGTTCATCTCTAAGTAGAGGCAGCACCAGAGCACACTCTACAATTACAGGATTAGTGCTAGCTAGCTGCTGTGAGCTGGGTTTATTCTCCCTTATTATTAAGCCAGGTTTGTGAGAAAGAGAATAAATGAAGTAGGACAAGTGGGGAGCTGAGTAATCAGAGAAACAAGAAGGGGGTGACACGAGAACAGCAGGAAGCGGATGAAAAGGAGGGCAGGAGAAAAGGGTGACAGAAGGGGCTCTCTTCATGGGGGGTAAAGCAGGGTCCTGGGCTGGGCCACAGAACACTCCTTGAAGAAACAGAATGAGAATCACACTCCAGGGCCACCAACCGTTCAAGCCACTGAAAGGAAAGCTGCTCAAAAACTGGGTCATTTCAGAACTGGCTGCAAGGTCTACTACCTAGGGACACGGCGGAGACACAAGCAGGAAAGTCTGCTCTCAAGCCTCTTCACCCAGCTAATGGCAAAGGGGGAAGCCAGAGTCGAGGTCTTTGAATTATGGTGTTGGCAGAGGTAGGAATATCCCACAGACTGGCAAATGAACAAACAAGTCTATCTTGGAAGAAGTGCCACTAGGGTTCTCTTTAGAGGCAAGGATGGTGAAACAATGTCTCACACGCTTTGGACATATTAGGAGGGGCTGGTCCTTGGAAAATGACATCAAGCTGGGAAAGGTCAGTGGAAAAGAGGAAGACCCTCCTGAGACAGACTGATACAGTGACTGGGCTCGAGCATGTTGGAGATCTTGAGTGTATTTCAGAATAAGGCAGTCTGTTGTATGAAGGGTTGCTATGGATCTTAATTCAATGGCACCTAACAATGGTAAAGCTAGAGTCTACAGTGCTGGTGAAGTCAGAGAGTACAAAGGACCCAGACTCAGCTGTCTCCGGCCTGCATGGAGCCCTGAGTAGTTGCCCATGTGTTGGACACATACATTTGTAGCTCGTCCACACACATTTCTAACTTGTCATGTATCACTTGCTTGCAGATGCTAGGGCTACTGATGCATACCATGGGGGGGGGGGCATAGAGTTCTGATGGACCGTGATGCTTATTAAATTCCCAACTCCTGCAGAAAAGAGGGCAACTTGTTCCAAATAGAATTTTTCTGTTTCTCTTGATCCCTAGTAGCTTCCAAGAGGCCCTTTAATCTCCAGGATGGGGTCAGGGGTGGATTCTGCCAGCCCCTTCTCTCCTTTTCTCAAGCAGAACCCTTGAAGCTCTGCCTCCTGAGAGGGAATTTTGCTCTCTTAGTCTAAGAGTCTTTCTAATTTGTTTAAAATCTACTGTTCCACTGACTGTGGGGTGTTTATTTTGGGGAGGAGTGGATGTGTGTGGAGGGGGCGTTTTTTGCTCTGACACTCTCATAGCTGAGAGGGTGTTGTAATACTTTTATTTCTTTTATGCCCTCCCACACCTCCCTCCTTCCCCCTCAATACACACAACAAAGTGACGAATGCCTCCTCCCCAGACTCCTGCTGCGGCCCTGCAACCATCTCTCCTGCTGCCGGAAGTCACCGTCACTGCATTTCTCATGCTGTCAAAGCCACATTCTTGGACGTGGAGGACGACCCTGGCTGGGAACAAATGTGAAAGTGTCGCTGCATTTAAGGCACCATCAGGTTACATGAAGGAGAAACTCGATCCTCACCTGGCAAGAAGGGAAAGCTGAATTTGAGGAGTAACCCAGACTTCAGGTGATCTCTGGAATGTGTGTTTCATCGCCTAAGCCTTGTTTTCTTCAGGCCACTGAAATGCCAGAAGCAAATGGGGTTGTGTTTGCTTTTTTTTTCTCCCCACCCCGCTTCAGCAGAAACATCTCTCCTTACTCTAGTGATATCATCCCTGGAAGGCTGAGATGTAAGAAGAGGTGAATCAAGTATCACCTTCACATCTCTTCTAGAATTACATCAGCCTGAGCCTCGGGTGCAGTGGGGATAAAAGCCAAAAAAATAGGAGGGAGGAAGGAGGAGAGAGAGGAGGTCATCAGGAGGGAGGGAGAAAAGAAGCCGGTTGTTTGCTGTGGACTTATCTGCTTCTTCCTCTTTTTCAACTTCTAAGCCCCCTCCCCTATTTCTGCTTTCATTTAACAGAAGAAAAATCAGTGGTGAAATAGTCACCTTGAATCTACCGATGGTGTTGGCTTAAATGTCATGTGCCTGAACTTTTTTCACTGGCCACCGTACTCCGTCACAGATGAAAGGCAACCTTGGCATTCTCCAGGACACGTAAAGGGTCAGACTGATTCTTTTCCACCCTGTTTTATGTCCTCATCGGTTTTAAAAAACAGCAGAGGCACTTGGCAGCGTAAGGGAACAATGTGCAATGTGCAATCTAGTCCTGCAGGATAGTGATGGGCCCACACAGCAGTCAACCAGTCAAGTGAGGCGGAGTGGGAGAGGCATGAGGAGGTGGCTGCACAGGTAGAGTGAGCTAGATCGGACTTTAACGACCTCTGAGTTCGGGTTTTAAAACGTCATTCGGTGACGTCTATCTGAAGTACTGGCAGAGAAGAACAGAGGCTCTCTCCTGAACCAAAATGAAAGATTTTGTCCTACTGTCTTTAAAAAGAACCTGCCTGTCTTTTAACTCAGTGTTTCCCACACAATCCCGCCCCCCCACTCCCCACTGCCTTTTTCTTTGAAAAACAGCTGAACCACTCTGAAAGATATGCCTAAACCACTCCTGAAAATTAGGAAGGTTCTCACCCTTCCTTCCTTTATGGTTCAAGTGAATTCCAGACACCCTGGAACTTCGGGATCTAGCTGAGCATATTTACGATGCGGACAAAGCCAAGCGGCCTTCTGCCTCCACAGGACACTGGTGAAGGCCGGGAGGGTGTCATTTCTGCAACATGGGCAAAGGGGCCTCAATGGGTAAGAGGAAAAATAAATTTGCAGAAAGCAGAGTTTAGGCAGCATCTTATTACAACTTCCAGCTGATTGGGTTTAGTCAAACTACAGACATCTGTTTGACGTTTACAACAGAAACAGAGAAAGCATGAAGGCCCCAACACAAGCAGCGACCAAGCGCTAAGCTAACCACTCTCCTCTGCCTTGACCTCCACACCACTTCCCCCGCAGGATCTCCCCCAGGTTGTGTAGAGGAAGGAAATGGGCTCTGTGGCCTGCCTGGCCACCCTACCCCCCACCCACCTGCACTGTGACTCATTCATGCCAGGATTAGAACTTTAGCAGCTTCCTCACCATGCTTCTCCCAGGAAAAACAAGAGATTGGTCTCATTCCTCAGAGAGCTTCATGGAGAATTCCTTTAGTTCTCAAGCCCACCTCAGAAGCTCTCCGAGCTGTTTGTAAAGGAAAAGATTATACACTATCCCTGCACCTGATTATTATGTGACCTAGAGAAAAGGATGGTTAAAACCACACTTGACCTTGAAGCAACCCTCCACAACCCTCACACCCTGAGAATGAGAAGCAGAACTCCATCTCCAAGTATTAACTCTAAAAAGCCCCACCCACACAGCTTAATGATATCCAGGATACAATGTGAGGAGACTTGTCCCAGCTCCACCATCTAGAGTTGAAATGGTCCAGGAAGACCTCAAGAATAGGCATGAAGTGGACTCCCCTTTCCCTAATCATCTCCACCCCATCATGGAGTAGGCCCCCCTCGCCCACTCCCACCACCAAGCAGCTTCAGGAGCAGTTCCACAGGCTCGCCTGTTCTAGTCAGTGATCCTTTTTATTCTCCCCACTGGCGTGCAAACAGAACCAGAACAGTGCTACTCTCAAAAAAATAACAAAATGTTTTATACACATTTCTGTATATACAACTGAACAACATTTTACATGTCCCTTTTGCACAGCAAAAGATATAAACATTTAACTCTGAGAACATAGTTATGTACAAAACGAAACAAGAACCAAAAATGATGTCAAAAATACTTCACAACAGTGCAAAAATATTTCACACAGTATCATGGAGTGAGCTCTTTCGAGCAGGAGAAAGGTGTGTTTCTCTAAAGGAAAACTCCTTTTATTAAGATATTAGATGTCTTTTACTGTAAACAAAATGCAACTCTTACACCCTCCCCCCCAACAGTTATTTGAGGAATTTGGCAGAATTTCAAGGGTCTGAGTCTGAGGTAAACAACCCAAGCTCTTGCACCAAAAAAAGAACTGGGGAAAGGGGTGGCATTAAAGCCTCAAATATTGTCAGAGTGAATTCTGTTGTTTTGTTTTTTTAAAAAAGTCACGTCAATGACAATGCCAAGCCGTTCTCGGTGGGGGAGGAAGTTAACCCCTCCTCCTCGAGCCCCAGCTGCCCCATAAACAGGAAACTGGCCGGCAGGCACCTCACACCCGGAGCCTTTGCAACTTCAGCCAGTCCCAGCCTTTCCCTCTCTCCCTCCTTCCCTCCCTATTGGGGTTCTCTGACCCTCATCTCCCCACTTCTCCAGACTGTGGCAGGAGTCAACCCCAGGGATGGGGTAGGTCCGCAAAAGGGGGTCTGGGCCCAAGTATCCCGTTCCCTTTCTTTGGGACTGGGGAGGTGGGGGGCAGTAGGTTGGCGATGGGTGTTGTAGGAGGACGGGTGGGAGTCACAGTGGGGCGCCAGCGGTGCAGGCAGGAAACAGCTGAGAGAGCTCAGTCTGAGTGGGGCTCGTCAGGATGGGCGCCATCGGCTGTCCCCGACGGGTCCCCAGGAGCAGCGGAGGTAGCGTCCGGGCCCCCCCCCTCGATGGAGCTCTCGCTGCCGGTGCTCTCGCCCGACAGCAAGCGCGTCACACGCAGGTCCGCCTGCAGGCTGCGCACGTCGTTGCCGAAGCTGAGCTCGCCCAGGTCGCTAATGAGTTGCGACAACTCGGCCTTCATGTCAGCGGCGCTACCCAGCAGCAGCGACGACGACCCAGCCCCGGGGCCCAACGAGACCCCATCACCCCGCAGCGCCTCCTCGCGGCCGCTCTCCAGCGTGTCCAGCAAGTCCCCGCATTCGAAATGCATGGCCACAACCAGTGCCCCCTGTGTCTCAGCTTCCTCCTCTGCGTTGAGCCCTTCCACAGCTCTGTCGTCGTCGTCGTCGTCCTCCTCCTCCTCCTCCTCCTCCTCCCTCTCTGGGCAGACATCGGGGTGCTCCTCTTCTTCCTCCTGCAGCTCCTGCTCCTGCTGCTCGCCCAGTAGGTCCTCGGTGATGGAGCCGAGCTTGGGCGCGCTGCGGCTTCGCTCCACTGGCGGCTTGTAGCAGCAAGGTCCGTGCAGAAGCAGCTTGCGCAGCGGTACTAGAGGGATGGTGTGTGCGCCCACCAGCTCCTGCTGCTGGTGACGCGCGTCGTCCCGCCGCTTGAGGCGTTTAAACTCGGCCAGCGCGTTGGCCGACGTCTGGTACAGCAGCAGGGCCATGGCTTGTGCCTTCTCTGGCTTGGACACAAGCACAGCGTGGCAGCGCAGCATTACCGCCTTGTGTTTCAGTTCATGCTGGTAAACCCAGGCGAAGACCTTGGGCAGCCATGCGTCCGCCACGGAGTAGGTGACGCGGTGCAGCAGGTAGAGATGGCCTGGGCGGCGCAGCGCGCGCTCCTCGGCGTGGACCATGCAGATCCCCTGAGCGCTCACCATCAGCTTCATCTTGGTGCCCTGACGGCCCGCTTCGCTCTTGCTCCAGATTTTGCCCACTGCTAAATCAGTGCAGCCGTCGCCACATGCCTGGATAGTGGTGGCATTGCCCGGGTGGAGGACCGTATAGGTGGGGTCCTCACTGGTGATGTGCAGTTTCTTGCTCTTGGAGCGGAACATGCTGCCCACCCGGCTGAGCGCGCCTTCGGGGCAAGCCCGCGCCAGTGAGCTGAGCACAGACTAGTGCAGGCTCACGGCATAGCCCTTGGGCTTGGCCGCCTGCCGAGGAGGCGCCTCTGCCAGCAGCTCAAACTTGTGCTTCTTCCACGGCAGCATCTCCGGAGGGCGCCCCGGCGCGGCTGGGCGGCGGCGGCTGAGCGCTGGGTGCGAGCCCGGCTGAGCCACCCGCCTCGGCAGGGCTCGGCCCGGGCAAGACCAAAGAAGACAAAAAAGGGGGGCAAAACCTGCTAGGAGCTGCCAGGTGGTGCAGGGGTGGGTGGCAGGGTAAGAGTTAGTGTTCTAGAACCCCAAAAGGTATGAGGAACGAATGTTTAAAATATCCGGCTGTGTGTGTAAAAAATTAAAAGCTCGAGCACTCACATAGAATTAGTGCCGCCTGGGCACGGGCGAAGGCAAGAAGTCTCAGGCAAGCAAAACGAAGAGGGATCCAGACAGAAGCGGTAAATACCTAAAAAAAGGGGGGGAGGAGTAATAACCTAGATGCGTGCGTGCAGAGGGAGTCCCAGCAAAAGTACCCAGGATAGTGCGAGAATTATGTCAGTCCTCCGCAAACGTGTAAAGGGGCCCCCTCCCGTCACACACAGCCACGGGACTCCAGCCAGAAACCGCGGAAAGTGCAGGTTGCCAAGGGGGAGCGCTCCCCACCCCTGGGGGGGCTGGAGTCAGAAAGCCCCTCCGCTGGGCTGCCCCCCAAAGTCCGTGAGGTGGCCGCGGTGGGCCCCCGCGCAGCAGTCCCCGGGTGGCTCACTGCATCTTTGCTTCGGCCAGAAGCCGGGGACTCAGAATCGGCCAGCTCACTGTCCCGGCAGGCTTGCCCCGGGCAGCGCGAAGCTGCGAGCAGGGGGCGCACGCATGGCCGACTCCGGGGACGACCGCTACCTCATTGCTTCCCAGCCGGGGTGGTTCAGTTCTGCTCCCGGGCTCACCTCCGTTGGTTTGTTCGCCTCTGCAGCACGCCCTTCTCTGTACTGCGCAGGGTGGCCGGCTCGGCAACTCACATCCTTACTGTCCGAGAGGAAGATCTCGGGTAAATATAGGCTGGTGCGAACCAATCGCGACGCAGGAACAGGGGAGGAGCCGAAAAAGAGGATATGTTTTGGGCTGGCGAGTCCTGATCTCTTAAAGGGACCAGGTTGCAACCTCTGGCAGAGGGAGGAGAGTGACAGATCCATTCCAACATTTGTATCCCCAATGGATTAACATCTCTTTTAGCTACAGAATCTACCTGAGTTTGCCTCACAGCAAAAAAGAATTTAATCTGCCCCCAGACTGAATTGCAACTCACAGAATAAATGTATGTCTAGATTGAAATGTCTGAGAGAGACGGTGGAAGGTACAACTGTAACTTCCCTGTACAAAAACAAAAAGTTGGGAAGATACTGATTCCTTGTGCTGTATAAGTATTTGACTCTACTGAAGAAAATAAAGAAGGACAAAGAAAATACCAACATTCCTCTTCACTGCCTTGGGGCTTTTTCTTCATAGGTAAGCACCTGAGTGTGAAAAGTGAAATGGTTGCTAACGAGGTCCACAGAGTGAACCATGTGTTATGTAGTCGATAAATAACGTGCTTCCTGCCAGCCCCCACAGCTGTCAGCCCTCGAGAGCAGAATAGGTTTCTGTGTTATGTATAATTTCTAAATTATGCTTGTGTGGAGTTAAAATTAGTGACTTTGCTATGTCAACCATTCAATTTTATTTTGTCACACATTTTGAGCGTTCCTAGTGGGAACTTCTTTTTTTTTTTTTTTAATTGGATCGTCAAATAATACAACCACCATCCACTGGGGGTGATCATTGCATTAATCATATTTTTGTCATGTGTCTATTGGACAATATAGTTTTACTTATCTGACCAGCTTGGCCTCTAGCCAATAACCCATTTCTGGGTCCTTAAACCAACTTGCTTGACTCTATGCTTTTGTTCAGTTAAAGCAAAAATGAAGAATAATTATTGACTCTAGCGCATAACTCATTATTGTGGCCTGGGGTAATAAGAGTAGCTGTGTCAGAAGACAGTAAAGCTGGCACAGGATAGAGAAGGTTTCAGGGCTATTGTACATAGAGTCGCTATGAGTCGCAAGCTACTCCATGGCGCATAAGGAGCTGTTCTGCCATCCAAAAGCACTCTATTGAAATCCATCAACTGCTCCTCAGGAGAAAGAAAGATGGGCAGTCTCCTCCCAGTACTATTTTACTGCGTCTGAAAACTGCCTGGAGGAGCAGCTACTGGTTGATTCCAACTCAAGGTTACATAATAACAACTACAACAGAACTTATTACCTTTGAGTCAGAACTGTCTCACAGCTGACCCTCTCTTGTGTTTCCCAAGCTATAAATTGTTGGGAGGAACTTGCCCCTCTTTCTGGAAAGAAGAGTCACTGCCTTTGGGTTATCGGCAACTCCCAATGGACTCAGCCACACACGACCCTTTCCTGGTCCAGGAGATCCTGCAGAACTTCACAGATTCCTAGAGGGGGCAGGCCCAGCCCCTGGAGATGGTGACTGTCTCTGGCGTCCATGCCAGTCCTGGTGGCAGAACCACTATGGCCCATTCTGGAAATTTCCTAGCATTCTTCTTTTGCTAACTTGTAAACTTAAATCAAACAAACAAACAAACAAAACCCACAACACAAGCGACACCCAAGCAGATATATGCACACCCATGTTTATTGCAGCTTTGTTCACAATAGCAAGGAGTTGGAAACAACCTAAGTGCCCATCAACAAACGAAT